GATTTTTTTTCAAAGTACTGCGAATTTTACTGTTATTTTATCTCCAATATTTCCTGCTACATCCTGTAACTAAGCGCACGTTATTGTAAAGAGAATATCCATTTTGTTGTCTTTACATTTCTTAGCCTCCACATATTCCAACTGAAGAACTATCTATAGAAACTTTAAAAAATGTATTCACAAATATGTCTGAGATCGCTAGACCCACCTCTGTTTAGCTACCTTATTGCAATAAAGTATTAGAATAAAGATAAAAATGTCCTATAAAAGAATAAAAATAAAAATTACAAGTAAGGAAGTCTAACTTCGGGCGGAGCCGAACATGAAATACCCGGCGCAAGTATTAAATATATGATTTTCAACTTTCCGAAACCTACTGCTACATGGTAAACCGGGATGTATCAATTTTGAGTAAATTAGCGTCCTTATATTTCGAAATATTGAAGTTTCAAGCATTTCTGAAATTTACCGTTATATGAAAAGCGGCCTCAATTTTATTCCGATTTCAATAATTTACAACGTTTTGCTTTTATGTGGCAAGCACAATAACCATACCGAGTTCGGTACAAATTATTAGAACGGTTTCTTTCCATTTTCCAAAATTTTATCATAAACGTATTTTGTGGTAAAGAATTGTTGTAAGCATCAATTTTGAATAAATAGCTAAATATTTACTGATTTATCGAAGATTTCGTATTTCTCCAAATTACCGTTATATGGGATGTTGGTGTGGTTATAGTCCGATTTTAAAAATTTTCGGCCATTTGGTATGCTGTAGCAAGGCTAACAACTGTGCCAAATTTGGAAGAAATTAGTGCAGCGGTTACCAAGATATACACATGTAACCATAAGTGGGCGTGACTAAGCCCATTTTCCAAAAATTATTGTAAATATCAGTTTTGAGTGAATTACTAAATTATCGCAGTTGTCGTATTTCTAAAAATTACCGTAATATGGGAGGTAGGCGTGGTTATTGTCCGATTTTGCCCATTTTCAATACCATCCGTCCTACGCCCGAAAGAAGTGCACGTACAAAGTTTCGTTAGGATATCTCAATTTTTACTCGAGTTATCGTGTGCACAGACGGACGGACGGACGGACAGGCAGTCACCACTTAATCGATTTCTCTTTTCATTCTAATCATTTATGTATACATTTGTCTATATCTATCTCGATTCGTTTTGCCTGTTACAAACAACCGTTATGTGAACAAAGTTATAATACCCTTGTGCACAAGTGCGCTCGGGTATAAAAAAATCCTTGTCGCTATGAATTGATCTCGATACCAACAAAGTGGTAATCGAAAAAGCATCCATGCCGCTACAGTGGCTATTAACATAGCAGCATGAATTCTTAAACTTATTTTCAAAATTTTTATTTGTTTAAAATTTCAAATATCGAAGTTTCACAAAAAAAATATATCGTCGCTCGAATAAAGAAACAGTGTAAATACCACATAGACTATTATTCGATAATTGCACCATTGGAAGACAATCCTTTAATCTATTAGAAAAATCTTTAGTTTTCTTAAATGTCTCTTTGGCTCACTAATTTATTCCAGAAATACGAAATTGTATTTATATGGTTTGTAATGGTTTATAAAAACTTCCAATTCGTTTTTTCTCAAAACTATACTTTTCAGGTTACACTATTTCATTATTCCAGCGACGATATGTAGTGATTTTCAAACTGTTGACGACACTACGATAGAAGACACGATAGTAAGCAACAAAAATACATGAATCAGTGTTTTGACGACGTCGTTTTATCGATATCGTGTGAACGACTATCGTATCAAAGTTACGTGATGCCCTGGAAGCCTCAATTGCTACATTAAGCTAAGACATTTTTTCTGAACAGAGATAATAAAGAAGACCAACGCAGGGCGCTAAGCCAACACGGGATCAGCAACAGTTACAGGATCCGCTGCAGGTGCAAGATCGGCAAAAGGTGCAGGAGCAGGATGTGCATCCTCTGAAGAGGTAGAATTTGTAGCTCCAGAAAGTTTTCTTTTAGAACAACTAGTCTCCTCTGGCTGTGACGATAAAAGCGCTTCCTCGACAGCCCCTGATCCAGAGCACTGCACCACGTGTGATGACAGCACCAAGAACCATGACCCCAAAAAAAACAATCTTAACGCACGTGGAATTTAGACGCATAAACTAGCTCATACCATTGAAATTTATGTCAGTCTTCATGAAAGCTTTTTAGTTAGTTACTTTAAGGCCAATTTCAGATGGCCTATGTATGTAAGTAGAGATTGTTGATTAACTTCAACAATTCATTTTAAGATCATACGTTTAAACTGCACTTAAATGACCAATATGGGCTATTTAAATATGAACCCCTGCAACCCTGTGTTTGTACCAAACATCCAAGATTGATAGATAGGTTGTTTTATCATTCTTGCCAAAGAACGATCAGCTGTTCAGTATAAAATGTTAACAAACAAACAAACGGAACAACAATTTCAAAGAGCAAGCAACAGTGTTCCCTATTGTTTGTCATATTTAAATAAAGTTGATCTGAAATCAAACGAAAGTTAAATGGGATTTAAATAACAATCCACAATTAAATTAAGTTAAGTGCCATTTAAATATCCATTTGAAATTGGCCCTAAAAGAGCGTTTGCATTGTTCAACTTTGCGTTCAACATTTGCGTTCAACTCAGCGCAGGGTTGCACGAAAAAAAAGTTGAATGGCTAAAAATATCAAAATATGAAAAAATATCAAAATATTCGCCACAAAAAGGTGTTTGCATTGTTCAACTTTGCATTCAACTTTTGGTTGAACGGCGTTTCAATTAGATCGCTTTCAACAAAGTTGGTTGCCAGCCAACATTTAGCCATTCAACTTTTTTTTCGCGAAACCCTGCGTTGAGTTGAACGTAAATGTTGAACGCAAAGTTGAACAATGCAAACACTGCTTAAGGCTGCGTTTCTTCAAACTCATTTAATTGGAACTTAACTTTAATTTAAGTTTTTATTTAATTCTCATTTAAATGTTTTTTTTTTCACTTATATTTCAACATATTTTGATTAAAAGAAAAATACTGATAAAAATAAAATATTTTACACAAACAACAGAAAATATAATCGATAATCGCATGAGGCTATTGCCTGAAAATTTTAAAATGCACTTAGTGGCATTGTGCTACTATGATAGCTCGGCCCAGTAATCATAGTCAACTTATGTACAGTAGACTGCATCACTCCCCATACAAAAGAAAAATCGGTACTGATTTTCCACTGGAATTATAAAATCTATTATATTTTAATCCTTCCACAAAATATCTCGCAAAAATATTAAGATATTACTTAGGCTGGACCGATTTGAAAATACCTCCAAAAATTGAGTTTTTTATTAAAAAAAACATTTTTTTTTAAAAAATCCCTCAGATGACTAAACAGTTTAAGCATAAAAAAATGCATACAAATTGTTCTACGGAATCATAATAATGAGATTTTCGATGCTGCTTTTGAACTTTTTTAAAAGACTTATGAGGTATCATTGGTAAGGTATTTTCTCACCCTTTTAATTTCTTTGCGAATAAGCTTAATCAAAGTATGAAAGAGGAAATAAGATAAACGCGTGTCATTCCATGTTGAATTAAGATGTGCTTGTATTTGATAAAGAAAAATTTGGGACGTGAATGAGTTTTTTGTTGCAAAGAAATAAAAAAGGTGATAAAATACCTTTCCACTGGTACCTCATAAATCTATATTGGTAAAGTTTTGGAGCAATTATTTAAGTTTTTCTTACACAAATTTTTTGAAAAAGTTAAAAAACAGCATCAAAAATCTTATTATTATGATTCCGTTGATACAATTTTTTAATGTTTTTATGTAGATTTTTTTAGCCTAAACTGTTTTGTCATCTGGGGGGATTTTTTCAAAAAATCCTTTAAGAAACTATTTTTATTCATAAAATACTCCATTTTTAGAGGTATTTTCTAACCGGTTCAGCTCACGTAAATCTTAATATTTTTCAGAAATATTTTGGTAGAAGTCTTAAAATTTAGTAATCCCGCCGGAAAAACCTCAACTTTTTTTGTACATTGTACAGTAGTCGAAAAAATTATAGCCACACCAAATTTTCACAAGTTCAAAAATATTATTTTTGTTGTTATTTAATTTTGGCTAGTTTTTTATAGTCGATTCTTTAACAACATCCATATAAATAGAAGTTTAAAGGCAGTGTCACACGATTGGATATTTGCCAAAATTTGGTGCAAATCGTATCCCAATTGTGTAAATACCCAAATATTTTGCTTTATCCCAATCACGAAAATTAATTTGTTGAAATTTTTCAATAGAAAATCGCTGTATTTTACCGATATTTTGACTACAAAAAAAATCCCTTTTTTTTATTTTGTACCAATTGCCCAACATAAAAATGTACTAATCTGTACAAATGTAACCGCCCTGCAAAAATCGTTGGACCATGTAGTCTATTTGTGGTAAATTGGAGTACTTACAAAAGTGTTCCTCTGTCATGCTGTAGCGGACCAACTCGTGTCTCTGCGCCAGCTTATTGTTTGTTATCCGATCACTGCTCGTGTTTTAACGAAACATGATTGAAGTTCAGCATTTGAAAGCACATTTGCATGTCTGGCTGTAGCTGAACGTGTAGAGATGCTCGCTGTTAGTTCTTAGCTCCCAGCATGCTCGGGTTCGAATGCCGTCAGAGGCAACATGTCTCATCCGAGGCTTTGCCTTGATTCTTCACTGGAAGTGGTTTTTACGTGGCGGGTCCCAAGCCCAGCGTACAGCCCATTGTTGGGACGGGGGTGCTTTCGCAACCAAATGCACGTTTATATAGCGAGCCGCTTGCTCCAAGCAGACACCCGCTTGCA